GGAATGTTTTCATCAAAAACCTAAATTTCTTTTCGACTGAAGAAAGAAAGACATGGACATCTTGGAAGATATGGGGGTGAGTAAATTATCAGCAAAAGTTTTTTCAAAAGTGAACTACTCCTTTAAGAGCAATGCAACAGTTGCTGATCATTTTGAGCAGTTGTGTCAATTGATAGTTAGATCATGGTAAGGAAATGAATAGACACTCATTTGAAATGTAATGTGTGTACTATTGCCTTTTGAAATAGTAGTACTGTGATATTAAGTTGTGTCATATTGAACAGGTGACTTTTGTTGAATGAACAAATGATCGTATAGTTTTATATGTATTGTATCCAAGCAATTGAGAAATGGATTAAAGTTTTGAAAAATGTGCATTTTGATCATTGCTTGTGATTTTTGTGTCTATAGTTGTGAAAAATAACATTAAGGTTCAGAAAACAAAGTGATTGTAAAAAAATGAATTGTTCATTAATGACAGCATGATAAAAATAAAACAAATAATGATATTGAAGAATTTTTATATTTACCAACCTGAAAAATAGACCAGCATAAAAATGACAAATTCCGATTGAAGACAGAATTCTGTGAACAGAAACGGGTTAAAACTAATGAATACTGTATATAACATATTAGAGCAAATCAATAATAATTCATTTCCACATTGTTGCACATTCATGTTAAGGAAATCTAAAAGTCTCATAAAGATCACTCATATAGAGATTATGGAGATTTGAGCCATTATGTGAAGAGACCTGGATGCAATATAAAAAGATTCAATGAAAAATCCAAACCTGATATCTTCTTTAAATACGGTGCAACATTTATCACCATCAGAGGCCTCAGGATATAAAGAGCACAGCAAAAGATCGTCTCATACAGAATTCCTGCAACAAAAACAGATGATTGGGTGTTGATTGGCTTGAGACCCTTTGACATTTTGCTATTTAGCAGCTTTATGCTAAAATACTGTTATTTTTATCCACATCAAACACACATTATGACAAAACAAAACCCTGATCTGTGATAATATCGAAAATGACGGATGACTTGTACAGCCAAGTTGATTATATGCAAATTTAAGGCAGCATTTTCCAACATTTGGTTTTCAACTTTCCCAACAAGAAAGAAAGTCAAAGAGGTTTGAAATGACACAAGGGTTTGTAAATGAAAGAATGTTTTTAAACTATCCTTTAATGGGTCTGAATAATAATACAATGTCTAAGGCAAAAGCAGCATAAGGCTGCAAAATAACACCATTTGGAAAAAGTGTATTTAATTATGATTATTATTATTATTATTTACGAGGTATTATTTTACAAATATCCAGAGAAAATTATATTTCTGATTCTGACAGTGTGATTATATTTAATCTACTCACCTTCTGTAACACCCCAGAGGACAAAGGCCACAAACATCATAATATTGGGAAGAAACACATGAAGAAACCCAAGAGTCCTGACAGGTTTGGCTGCAGAGTCTGTAAGAGGAGCAAAATATGTATTTATAACCTGTTTTGTCTTGTTATTAAAAAAATGCCATTTACCTGTTTTAATTAGTGATCGACCGATATATCAGTCGATATATTCCATTCCATATAATGGAAACACGTCGCCCTATAACTGTTATGTGCTTGCAACTAAGCAAGTTTGTGGGTCCAAATGGAAAACGCGAATGCCTCGTCTATAAAACAACTGCTTGCCATTGTATTAGGGAGCTGCAAATAGCTAAGGTGTAGGTTACCCGTTCAGTATGCATTAGGACTGTCTATGAATATTCTACATTCGAATATGTATTAATTTTGAAGGTGAAAATTAATATTTGAATATGGAAAAACACGCCCGCGGTTGCAGACTAATAACGTTACCACAGCTGCACAGCTCGCTCGGAGCGCTCACTGTCGGTTCTATACTGTGAAACTTCAATCACTGAATGCAGCCTGCTATATTTGGGAAACGAGTCGCGACTCGCAACCTTAAATTGCTTGCACAAAACTCTTGATCAGCACTCAACATTTGTTTGTTGATCATTTAACCGACGCGCAGAGAGCGTGAGGGCGAGAGAGAGTGCCTGAGCAAGTCCAGGCGAGAGAGAGCTCTGCGGTCTTGGCCATTAGTTGATTTAGTTTGCTTTTTAATACGTTGTTAAATATGTTTAAACTCAAATAAACCATCTAATTCTAGTAGTTATGTCTCTTTTTATTAATGTGTCCTGTTATTGACGTAATGCGCGTCAACAACAAAACGCGCTACGGGATGTTCGAATATGTTTTTTAGAGGGAAAATGCAAACGCCATTTGAGTAATTTTGACAGCCCTAGTATGCATACGGGTGCTGTAACGAACACTGGTCATAGGATTAAGTAATGCCAACGTTGTTCAGTGTTTTTTGTGGGAGATTTATTCAGCGCCCACCTGGATGAGGTTTGGACGTGTGTGGTGTGTGTCTCCCTCGCCATCGCAGTAATATTACAGACTAGACATGCTCATTTTATTTATGTAGAAAAATTGAAACCATGCAGTACATAGTTCGTTTCTTTTAAAATGAAGTACAGTGTGCACTGTGCACTTTATTATGCTGGTTGCTACTGTGTGCAATAGTGTAATTATTTAATTTATGCTTAAATATTTATTTTCAGCACTGAACTTTTTTTGTTCTACTTTATGTTTTTAATATTTGTTAAATTGTTTATCTACTTCTTCTTGTTCTACCTCACATGTTTTTACTATTTGTTAAATATTAATTTTTGAAGTTAATTAAATGTTACTTTTATTAAACTGAGACCTGTAACATTAGTTAACATCATGTTATTTTTAAGATGTAAATTGAGGGAGCAAAATGTATCGGCTCCAAATATCGGCTCAAGAAAATCGGCAGCCCGTATCGGTCATCGGCTAAGGCTGATGGGGAAAAAATCGGTATCGGCACTAAAAAATCCATATCGGTCGATCCCTAGTTTTAATGAAATGCTTTGCTTGCTTTGAAGGAAATGCCATATTAAGAACTGTACTTGACTTCTTTTGTTTATGATGCGTATGACGCCCCAGATATATTTATTAAGCGTTATTTATGAAGCTTGGGTTTTGATTGAAGACGCCCCAGGAAATTATAGGTTCCAGTATACAGGAAAATAATAAAGTATACTGATACTTACACTTGAATAAACTTCTTTATCGGCCACAAATGCCACCTTTTGGTTACTATCCATAAGGGGGGCAGTGTCTTACCTCTTACAGTCTCTTGACCGCTAACCATTAGGTCACACAACTCTCAAAACTAACACAGTATGAACATTATTGGCCTCCTAAAACTAGAGGAAAACATTTTACCCTGATAGATACATAAATTGCATACAAAAGCTGCAATGAGATGCACATAAACCGCAATACAAAAATCTCAAACATGCTGATGATCAACAGCAGCATATTTCAAGCTGGTTAATATAAAGCAATATATTTTTTAAAATGATAGTTACCAAAATATTTTCAAGCTGCAATGCATGCTGGGAACTGGCACAACATTGTACCATATAAAATTGTGTTCAGATAACTTGATTTGGAAAATTGGGACAACATTTGGAACTTAATTAGAAAACATTTTGCTGTCACTCAATTAAAAAAAGGTATTTTGAACAAACAAACATTCTCAACTATGGTATTAAATCCTCTTCAAGTACAATCTAAAGAACCAGTCAAACGGCCTAAACCACTGTCATTTGTATATATTTCACATAATATACGTCAAGGACTCCGTAGACTAGGTTGCCTAGACAGTCAGTCAATAAATCTGATGACAGAAACTCCAAAACCACGTCCAGTCTTCAGTTTTACAAGTAATACATTTAAATTATTATATATGATCTGTTGGTCCCTGCCTCTTTTAAAATAGGAGCAGTGACTTTCAGTATCTTCAAAGTTTCATCTAATGAATCACAGTCTATTGAACTTAAAAATAATAATTGTCAAGGAAACTAAAGATTGTTTTTAGCAGCGCAAATGGTAAAATAAACTACACAAAATTTACATTATTTGTCTCTTAAAACTCGACGTAACAGCCTTAGGCCAGTGAGAGCTGTGCGTGTAAACCTCACTCCACTAATCTCAAGAGGCCTTCTAGTCTGACACTAGAGACTGCGGTCTTTTCATCCTCCTTGTTAGAGCTTCTGCCTCCAATGCGGACAGGCTCGGGTTCGAAACCCACTTAGGGAAATATATAGCATACAAAAGCTGCAATGAGATGCACATAAACAGTACCTCAACACACAAATCTTAAACATGCTGATGATCAACAAATATTAATTCGGTGGAAATATGAACTCTGAACCGATATGACAGCTAAATAACAGTGACAACAACAGCAGCAGCATAAATCAAGCCAGTAAATTTAAAGATAGACATTAAATAATAGTTGTTTTTTACATTTGTTATTATAAAATTTTGCTGATACTCAATGTATTAACTCCAACTTGCAAAATGTTGTCCCAATATTTGTCATACCACGTTTGAGATTTGTGTGTTGAGATTCATGTGTGCATCTCTTTGGAACTTTACTATGCAAAAAATGTACCAATTAGGTTCAAATGTTTGCCTCTGGATGTTCACACCATGTAGCTAGCTTTGAAAATCAAACATGAAGATGAAATAAGGATTGTAGCCATTTGCCTTGTTAAATGCTGAACAACCTTTAGTTGCCTTAACAAGAATATTTAAATTTACAAGACTATGCGTTACTCATGAGATAAACAAAATATTGAAGTTAACGTAACAAGTAGAGTGTGATAGGTTGCTTTTTTCCCCCAAGTTAGCTCAACTGTTTTGATTAGACACAGGAAAGTTTAAAAGTTTTTGTTTGTGCAACTTTTTGTTTGTGATTTCATTGAATTACGTTAACACAACACGCGAGTCTCGGTCAGCTGACCCCGTCTTCTTCCTTCCTCACAATTAAATCATCACAATGGTATATTTCATTATATTTATTATTTGTTGTTTTTGTTGGCTTGCAACACTCCAGTTGAGCAGATCTGGGCCTGTATCCCTAAAGAATTTTTGTGCAAAAAGTGACTCCTAACGGCCAAATTCTAAGAAAATTCTCAGAGTCATGACGTTTTCTTAGAATTTCCCCTAAAAGTGACATGAAAATCCCAGTTAATATAAAAGCTTTTCTTCAAGATTCCTAGCACTTAAAAGGCGAGATCAGCTAAGAGCAGGGAAGAGGACTTTTAGTGGCTTAGGAGTTCCCCTAAGCAGCTGCACAAAATTTATTTTTTCCCTTTTTCTCCATTTTCTGTGTTTGTAGGATATTTGTTAACAAGCCTTCATAAATAGACCAGCCAGCAATCACAGACATTGATAAAAGCTGAGCCGTGTTACCGTCGTTAAGACCACACTGAGTTGTAACGTTGCAATTTCTACTTCAATAAGGACAGCCCCTTCAGATAGGCCATCTTGTTTTCAATGGGGTCCATATGGGAGTGAAAGTACAAAATATGGCAGCTAGGATATTGATATGAGCAAATAAGACACAAATCATAATTTGAACAGGGTGTAATGAGCTTAAGTTTTCCCATATTTCTAATGTTAGGCTATAACCCCTACAGCTTACTATTCATTTTCCAGATATTTTCTTGAATGTGAAATATAATTTACAATTACAGTCTGCATAAGATTATAGTGTATAATTATGTTTATTGATTTGATTTGAGGGTACATCCTTTGCTCATTATCACCAAAAGTTAATTTTCATCAAACTTGTATGATCAACCAATCACGGCTATTGAAATGATGACTCATACCTAGCAACGGGGTCAACCACACCTCCTCACTAAGATAGGATTCTCCATCCATTCCTTGCTCAGAGTTCACTGAAAATGTTCTGGAATCACGTCTAAGCTAAAACTCCTGGCAAGGAATTTTTAGGTTAAGTTAGGAGCTCTCTGAGAGGATTCTCAGAATCTTTAGGGATACGGGCTCTGAATTATTGCAGATAAGAGTATTGCCATGGCATTCACATAGACCTACCTGTATTTTGTGATCTGAAGTAGATCGGAAACCACAGCAGAAGTGCAGATCCAGATGCAGAAATACATAGAATCAAAATTATTATGTGTGAAACAGAGAAACCTGTGAAACACAGACATCAGTTAATGAACAAAAAGGTACATCGTGTGTGATGTCTTCACTCTGTGAGAATAAATGTGAATCATGAAAGTGCCCATATTGATCTTTTTTGAATATCACCTTTGATGCAGTGTGATTGCAAAGGTCGGCAAAGTTTCTAGATTAAAGTGCACGATATTTATCTAGATCTGGCATCAAACTTTTGATGACGCAGGCTGATAAGTCTTTAACTCATTTGGTGGCAATCAGCAGAGGTTGCTTTATTGCTTTAAACAGCTTTATTACATCAGTAAAAGTACAGATACCCCTTGCTAAATTTTACTCAAGTACAAGTAAAAGTCCTAGAGTCAGATGCCTAATTAAGTGAAAGTACTGAAGTACTTGTTTTTAAAAGTACTTCAGAATCAACAAGAGTACATTTTTTAAATATTGCATTACTACAGCCACAGTGCTTACATTTAGGTAAAGATACGTCCTATATAGAGTTATAAAATGTTAACGATACCTTGGAGAATGTAAAATTAATTGAAAGTAAAATCAAGTCAATTTCATCTTTTTTTGTTGCTTTATTTAACATTGCTGGTACTGTGTTCTTATCAGTCTGCAGTGCGCCTTCAGAAACTCTCCACAAGAGCTGGGTAATAAATATCGATTTCTCGATATTAATCGATTCTCATTTTTACGAACCGATATCGATTCTTAAACCTCAAGAATCGATTAGTCATCCTGTTTCATTTGAATGAATAGAACATTGTATCGCGGCTGTGTGCATCCAAAAAAAAAAAAAAAAAAAAAAAAAAAAAATCGCAATAATCTTTGTCCTTTGTTACTATTGACATGAAACAAAGTCTCAATTTTGAAATTCTGTCCATTTTCTTTAGAAATTCAAAAACATAAATAACTTTGATTTTAAATTATCGGTAACAGATCATGTCTGAGCAGGACCTTTACAAATAGACCGGTAAATTGGTTATGCCAACTTACCAGTAAGGGTAGTTGTAACATTACCAGTATATGCAATGTGTGAACGTGGAATAATGGCGTCCACTATCCAGTGGGAAACTTTGCTTGGAGAGAGCCTTTCCCTTCAGCTTCCCACTATAACAGATAAGGAGCTGGTCTGAGGTCCTGAAACACTGCGTTCTGTCAACATAGGGGCGGAGAGCACATACTGGACAGAGCAGTGCCAAGGCTGGGTCTGCTTCCTCCAGGGGCAGCGCTTGCAGGTTCACCACCTGGTCCCGGAAGGGAGTAGTAGGAATCTTGGGCACATGTCCAGGGGTCTCAGGATCACATGAGAAGCCCCTTTTCCACCAGAGCATTTTGAGAGCCGGTTCGGAGCCGGTGCCTGCGTGCGAACCAGTGCTTTGTGTTTCAACAGCCAAAGAACCGGTTCTCGGCCGGGAAAACTGGTTCCAAAGCGGCACCAACTCTTTGCTGGACTAGAACCGTTCTTTTACCACGTCATGCTTTACGTCGGGGACTGGGGCGGGTTTAGATGTGGTCTAAACATCTTTTCGGACCATAATAAAGGATCGCAAAGCCAGGAGAAAGTCCGCCTTTGTAATTGTTATGCTTGAAGTTGGCGCAAGCGTTTCTATTTTTTTATTTATTTTTTATTGAAAACATTATAAGCAAATAAGAAAACTGTCACAATATAAAACAAATAAATGGAAAGACAAAAAGACACAAGACAGGGGTACATAACTTATCAGAAAAGATTACATATCAAATGAAAAGATTAAAAGACTTACATATTTCAATTGTTTTTAAAGCTTTCTTGGTACACGAGTTAGGGATAATCCCAAAGTAATGTTGTACTTGCATGCGTTTCTAGCTAAGACATGTGGAGACGTACAGTGACGTAACAACGTCGTTCCCTGGGCGCTCTAGTCAGTGGAAATACAAACAGGTTCTCAACAGGTTCGCAAGTTGAACCAACTCCGAACCAACTTTGAACCAGCACCAGTTCCGAACCAGTTCTTTTTTGGTGGAAAAGGGGTAAGAGTAGCCCGGCCCGAATTCCAGGCACGCTTCGTCAACGGAGAACGCATGCAGGTCCCCTACCCTCTTGATGAAGGCCAATGAAACCAGAAGCACTGGGAATGAGAGGAGATTGAGGAAGATTCACTCTCCTCGCTCCTCTCAGGAAACTGACCGCGGCCAGCTGTGCTCAAGTGCATCTGTGCCAAGCGTGCCCTCGGACAGGGAATAATACAGGGCACAATGGGTCGAGTCGTGAGAGGCAAACAGATCTATCTGTGCGTCCTCGAACTGGTCCCAAATCAGCTGAACCGACTGGGGATGGATTTGCCATTCCCCAGGGAGAGGCTGAAGCTGTGAGAGCTCGTCGGCTGCATGGTTCAGGCCTCCGGGGATATAAATGGCATGAAGGGACCTCAGATGCTTCTGACTCAATATGAGGAGGTGGTGGGCGAGTTGCGACATACAGCGGGAGCGCAGACCACCTTGAGGGTTGATGTACGCCACAGTTGCGGTATTGACTGATCGGACTAGTATGTGCTGGCTCTTGAGCACGGCTCGGAAGCGGCACAGAGCAAGGCGTACAGCCAGCAACTCAAGGCAATTGACGTGCCATAGGCGCTGGGGTCCTGCCCAGGAGCCCACAATGGCACGTCCATTGCACATGGCACCCCAGCCTGTGGCAGAGGCATCTGTCGTTACAACAACATGCTGGGAAGCTCGTTCCAGGGGCACTCCGGCCCGTAGAAAACTGAGATTCGTGCACGGGGTGAAGGTCTGACGGCAGGTTGGAGTAACTTATACTCAGAGAGTGCTGTCTTGCCATGCCCACATTGGTGACCGTGTCGTTATCCATACCGAGTAAAAGAGATCCTCTGCACGGGGCAAAGTTTCCCCGTTGACCCAAAGGCCCAAATGATCTAGGTGCCGGAGCACTAGGTCCCTGTGTTCGCAAACATGATCTCGAGAGTGAGCTAGGATCAGCCAGTCATCGAGATAATTCAAGACGCGAACCCCGTGCCTCTGCAACCTTCGTGAAGAGGCGAGGAGACAGCGCTACCCGAAAGGGAGAACCGCGGACTGGTATGCCTGCCCCACGAAAGCAAACCATGGGAACAGTCTGTGTTGAGGGAGAATGGAGACATGGAAGTAGGTCGATTGCTGCAAACCAATTCTGGGGCTGCACACATTCGAAAATTCGTTTGGCGTTGCGCATCTTGAACGGCAGCCTGTGAAGGGAGCGGTTCAGCACGCACAGGTCCAGAAATAGCCGTAACGCACCGTTTTACGACCAAAAGAGCTCTTTTGCATTTAAAGAGCTCAGACAAAGGAACTCTTCTTGAAAGGTGGCCAGAGGCAGCAGCTCATTTGCATTTAAAGGGACACACACAGAAATGGCACCTTTTGCTTACCCCCAAAAAAGTGGCAATTTTAACCTGCTATGAAAAAAATTATCTCAGGGGTGTTTTGAGCTAAAACTTTACATACACACTTAGCATCATTGTTTTACATCTCTTAAAACGGGGCATAGATAGCCTGGATGCCAGCCCGAACTCCGCCCACAACATTTTTAGGACGGGAAGTTCGGTCTGGACTCGATCCATTGAGGAGTAATTATGATCGGTTCAGAAATCATCGGGCCAATCAAATTGCCAGGGCGGGCTTTATACGATGATTGACAGGTGGTCTTCAGTAACGTAATCCTCACGTCATCAAAGTGCGCTTGTCAAAGATGGAGAATTGAGATGTATAGATTCCGCTGTCGTGTCTTTTGTAAAAAAAATTTAATAGACAAACAGAAAACTGCAATCAAGGCATTTGTCGATCGGAAAGATATTTTTGGCGTCCTTCCTATATGATTCGGCAAAAGTGTAACTTATCAGCTGGCTCTGACGGTCGTTAAGAAGATGGGACGTAATGAAAAGCCTGTGGTCGTTGTGGTTTCTCCTTTGGTGGCACTCATGGAGAAGTAAGTAAAAGAAGTAACACTCGTTATTTAACTTCTAAAATAAATAAAGTTAGGCTACGTTCTGTATTTGAAAACTGCGCTATGCAAAGGATTCGACTTATGCGTTGCTCTGATTGGTTGGTAGGTCTACCGACTATCCAATTGAGTGCAGAGGTTTTTTTTTTTTTTTGTCCTGGTTCGGTTACGACACGCCTCATAATCAAAGCCCAATAGAGGAGTTTCAGACTCATATTCTTTCTTGAATATGAGTATGACAAAGTCATGCTAGGGCATAGAGGTAAAATTACAAACAAAAAAATACACATTCTGAACATAAAATTTTGGGTAGGCTTGCCTCCCCTGACGAGCTGCCACTTTTTGACCAGCTTTTGGACATTTTGCATGCATCAAGTCATTGTGGATCTTGTGTAAATTTTAATTATTGATAAGTGTAATCTAACAAAAGTGAACATTATGTGGGATTTTAAATAGCTCTGAATCTGATTTCTTTAAACGCATATTGAAAATCTGAAAATTAATTCATTAAAAAAAGTTATGGCTGAATTTTATAGTAATTTTTAAACAGTTTTTTCTGAATTCTTCAATTCTTCAAAACTGCAAATATCCAGATACAGATATAAAAAAATACAGATTCAAGTTTTAAAGATGAATAAGTTCAAATTTTCTAAAATTCAAAATGCAGAAATTCAGATCATACAGAACGAAGGTCACAGGTCATCCACAGGGAAGAGTAGACGATCTGAGAAAAGGCGAACGGAGCATTTTGGCCAATTACAGAGCTGCTGTCGTTTTCTGCTGCAAATGTGGTGGTGGTTCAAGAGAATCCGTGTATCATTCGTTCAGTGATTTATTTATTTTTTGGGCACCAGAAAGATCTTCAAGGATACAAGGCGCATCATGTTGTTTTCTTTATTTTGGCATGACATTTTGAATGTACACAAATAAAAATATATATTTCACTGTCGATATTTTTCATTATTGTCAATATATTTTTTTAGTTTCGAATGATGTCATAATATCTGTATGACTATAATGACGGTTTAATGTTTGAACCCCGATTGTGACAATTACAGGTAATGGCTTTTTTTTTCTTTTTTTTTTTTTTTTTTTTGCAATTATGTAGGCTATTTCTATAAATTTGTACATTTTTAAACAATAAGAAAATGTACTGCTATATTCTCTGGATTAAATCAAACATTTTACTGTGTAATATGGAAACTTAACTGACTTTAAGTAAAACTGTATGTAACTACACAACTAAATTAAAACAGAGTAGTGTGAATGGTTGAGTGTTTTTTTTTAATTATTACTCACCCAGTTGCTCCAGTACCACAGTTGAATTGGCTGAAAGTACTCCAGCAAACACATGACACATGTAAACTCCTTTGTCTTCAGTTCTGACACTCTTCAGTCTGAGAGAAAAGTTTCCTTTGGGGATTTCATCAGTGAAGAACTCAACTCTGTCTCTGTATTGCAAATCTGATGAATCTGGAAAAGCCTTATTGTTCAGGTAAAGCAGAACCAGAATATCTTCATCTTCATCTGTTTTCCTCCATGAAACCTCTTCAATGTGTTCAGGTTTGATGTGAGAGTCGATAGAGCAGTTCAGAGTGACGTCATCACCCGCATATGCAGATATGGAGCGACTCGATCCTGATACCAGCAGACGCTCTGAAAGAACAAATAGTTACAAAATCACTGCATGAAATTTAAATTCAGTAATTCGTTTCTAGAACTCATGTGATTAATACTCACCAACATCTTTTATGTGAACCTCAGTCTCTCCTGAATCCTGCTGACTGTAAACTTTACATGTGTAATTTCCCTCATCTTCAGCTGTCAGATTGTCCAGACGGAGGGAGAAGTTTCCATGTTGAATCTGATCAGTAAAGAAATGAGCTCTGTCCTGATAATCCTGCTGCTGGGCCTCTGGTCGACTCTCTCCATATTGATACAGATGAACCAGAGTCTCAGAGTCTGTTCTTCTCCACTCCACCTCCAGACCCTTCACTGGTAAAGGTTTATCAGTATAACAGGGCAAAACCAGTGAAGATCCCAGAGGAGCAACCAGAGGAGTAGATGGACCTCGCACAATGAACCCTGAAACAATTTTATCCCATGAAAGGGACAGAGACAAATTAAACAAAGCTTGTTTTGTAGTTTCTCAAAGCAAAAATGAATTGCTTTTATTGGTTTATTTAAAAGGGGACAGTGCAATTTCACAAAACACATGAACAAACATGGTTAAAAAAGCCAGAATTAGCCAAAAGGCTATTTTTCATCTGTAGTCCCCTGGCCAAGATGTAAAAAAGCATTACAATACAAACAAGAAAATACATTTATAGGTCTAAAGCAAATTGACTACAAAATATCTAAATAACACTATAAGATAACATAGGGTACACTATGCCTATTACAATAATAAAATACACAAAAACACATTTACAAAAAGACTATATATTAAATATATAATACAGCTCTTGGTTCGGCTTTTAATGTTGGCAGACATAATTGTTAATAAGCCAAATTTTCAAGTTTTTTGTAAAAGCCTTGTAATTATTGAGCTGTCTAACCTCCTCAGGTACTCAATGCCATTAACCCCAGTGACGGCTAAGTTTAGGGATGGGGTTGAGGTAAGTCATATCTTTTTCTTTCCTAGGATGGTAAGGGAACAGTCATAAATGCCATTAACCCCAGTGACGGTTAGGTTTAGGGACGGGGTTGAGGTAAGTCATATATTTATATAACGTTAAGTCAACGGCGTTCATAAACACGCTGAAAGGCGATTATGCGTCTTGATAGCACGCCAAAAATGGAAATACGAATTGGCATGTCATACACACGCTACTTCATGAGATCAGTCTGCAATGAGCATCCTTCTGAGACCTAAAATGACAAATGTATCACCCCATGCCATGGTCTCACATACTAAACAGAGACGTGTTAAGTGGCAGCCATTGCAAGTCCACAAGACCGAACGTGCATATATAGTGTGCCTGCTATTTTAGATGAAATAAACAAATTACGCATGTAAACGCAAATTACGCAGTGTTATTTTTTGTCATCCATTGGCTGGTTACATGATCCCACGCTTATTCATGCAAATGCTATTAAACCATTCATGTGCAACAGGTCAAAAGAGAGCATGCTGCCTGTGAATGTCCTGACTATGGCCCTGTACAAAATGGTGCACTTCATGTGGACTTTCGATTCACTGTCTCAAAGCTGTAACGCCACAGACTGGTGTCCCCTATTGGTCAGAAGAACAGTGTAAATGCAGTGAAGTAAAACATGCATAAAAACAAAATCATTTGCAATTGTGTTATTTTTGAAAATGTAATCTATTAAATGCAGAAATCATCTATTCAAGCTTTTATTACTTTTCATTTAGACTACTGCAACTCAATGTATTGCGGTATTTCCAAGTTACAAATCGCTTAGTCTCGCGTAGCCAGACCTTCAGACTGACGGCAGAACGTTAGCCAACGTTCCGTGGGCGTGACGTCTGAGGCTGAGACTACAAATCGCTCGCCTTCAATTGGTCCAAAATGCTGCCGCAAGATTTATTTGCAAAAGTCATAAATATGATTACATCACTCCAATTTCCAATTCTAAGAAATCTTAGCTGGCTGCCTATTCAGCATAGAATTGATATATATATATATATATATATATATATATATATATATATTGTATGTAAATGTCTGCAAAACCATCTTATGCTCCTATCTACTTATCAGAATTGCTGGAATTGCCCCTTCAAGAAACTTAACATCAAGTGAAAAACCTCCTTCCAGTCCCACACTCACGACTCAAGCTTAGGTGATCGAGCGTTTCATGTGGATGGACCATGGTTATGGAACTGATTCTGGGCTTGTTGTGAAAATGGACGAGAATTTTGTGCGTTCTTTGTCTCGAGACAAAGTTCATCAGGTTGGGCCATGAATCATAGAGAAGCAAGGGGCCGAATTCAGGAAAAATTGTTGATGGGATGGCGTAGAGTTGATTGACAGGACTGAATATTTAGTCTCCTTCTGAACCTTCGTTCATTTAAGCTGTTTACTTGCACAAGCTCACTAATAGCCTCACAGTTGTTGCGTTTACTTTTGCTGCAAACAGTTTTTTTTTCTTTTACTTTTATCTTCAGTCAAACAAGCTTTAGCTTGACAGAGATACTTTCGGTCTTGTATACAGTGGGTTAAATCAGGTAACCAGGAAATATATCTTGAAAAAATAAATGCAAAGTATGGCACAGTCTGACGCACTTGCATATGACAATAGCTGTATTAGCAGACCTGAAAACTATTTTTTATCGAACTGTCTTGTTCTTTCTCTGCTTATGAAATGAGTGATTTTCCTTTAGCCTACAATATGCGATACTCAATAATCCATAAAGAAATTTGTTAGAATTCTTAAATTAGCATTTTGGCTGCAAAAACAAACGTAGGCCTATATAAGATTTATTTATCTACAAAACAATTTAAGCAGAAGCCTTAAAAGATTTACAAGACCATGAAAATCAAAGCCGGTTAAGTGGCAAATCGAACGGTTATACTATTTATCTACATTTGTAATAAATTGTAAATTTGTAATTGTAGATAATTTTGTCCCTTTCATCAGAATTAAAGCAAAAACAGAGAGATTTAAACGAAATTACAGCCACAAAAATAAAAATAAGCAGGTCCATTTTCAGTTATGATTAATACTTTTTGGTTGTCAAAGTAAAGTTTGTGCCCTATATGAGAGCAAGATCTATGTTTTGATACCTGTTTTACTGTGGAACTAGGGGGAAAAAAAACTGTTTAGCCTATGTCTGAAAAGCATCACTGTGAAAAATGGAAATCTCGAATGAAATGAATCTGAAACTGCACGATTGTCTTAAAATAGGCCTAAATGTTTTTTTTGCGGAAGAGAGAGAGAGAGAGAGAGAGAGAGAGAGAGAGAGAGAGAGAGAGAGAGAGAGAGAGAGAGAGAGAGAGATAAAATGATGTAGCTTACCATTTGCGATCATCAACAATGTTGATATCAAAACACAGCTCGGTGTGTGCATCGTCAAATAATGTAAAATAAAACACAAACTACCATGTCCTTATGCTATAAATAAGCGATGACTATATTCTTTCGCCGACATGAAGCTCATGCTCTTGAAATGTCCACGGAGCAATACTTTCGTTTGCATTTCTGACTTTCACTTTTATATTGTCGTACGCATGCGTTATGGAGCTAGGAGTGTCTTATTACATGCGAGAATTTAAATGATCTGAGAGAAAAAAAAAATGTTTGGGAGAAAAGTTATCGCAGTGATTGCAAAAAAAGCATTTCACGGGAGAAAAAAAAAATATTTGAGAGAAAAAGGTTAAAAAAATAATATTTGAGACTAAAAAAGTTGAGATATTTTTTTTCATAGAACATAAAAATATAGCCTAAATTAGATTTTTTTTTATTATTTCTGAGAAAAAAATCCCTCTCAAAATGCTTAGAAATAATCTCATATATATATATATATATATATATATATATATATATATAAAATAAATAATATATATATATATATATATATATATATAATTAATATGTATAATATATATGTTTTGCTATCAGTTTGAAAACTTTTTCTAAAAAAAAAAAAGTGTTTCTCTCAAAACGATTTCCTTTGCTCTCGATGCAATTTCTTACTCTCAAATCAGGATTTTGATTTCACTGTGAAAATTGTGTCATGGACGGGGCCATGATATTTTTTTTCCTATTGCCCAGTCAGGTAAGCATTTGGTTGTCTTGGGAGTCGGGTAAGATGATGATACACACAACTCGATGAGTAGCTGGCTGAGCAAGTTCAGCATCACTGAAGATTTGGTTTACCTAGCATGATGGCTAATTAACGATTAGCTTTACTAGCCATTAGCAAGCTAATATAATACGTATCCATTCATGAATATGAGTGCTATTTTTTAATGTTTAATCTAGCCTATGTCTGAAAAGCATCACTGTGAAAAATGGAAATCTCGAATGAAATGAATCTGAAACAACACGATTGTCTTAAAATAAATGTTTTTGCGGAAGTCGATCAGGGACAAACATCCTAAACTTTGGGTTGAATATTTAGGCTAAAGGGTACTTTTCTACTTACTTAGCCTACTCGGCATCTAAAGAACATGTTTATTTATATTCTGATCTGTTTTCAATCAACCATTTATTACAACCGAGAGAGAGAGAGAGAGAGAGAGAGAGAGAGAGAGAGAGAGAGAGAGAGAGAGAGAGAGAGAGAGAGAGAGAGAGAGAGAGAGAGAGAGAGAGAGAGAGAGAGAGAGAGAGAGAGAGAGAGAATAAAATATGTAGCTTACCATTTGCGATCATCAACAATGTTGATATCAAAACACAGCTCGGTGTGTGCATCGTCAAATGTGTAAAATAAAACACAAACTACCATGTCCTTATGCTATAAATAAGCGATGACTATATTCTTTCGCCGACATTGAAGCTCATGCTCTTGAAATGTCCACGGAGCAATACTTTCGTTTGCATTTGACTTTCACTTTTATATTGTCGTACGCATGCGTTATGGAGCTAGGAGTGTCTTTATTACATGCGAGAATTTAAATGATCTAAGAGAAAAAAAATGTTTGGGAGAAAAGTTATCGCACTGATTGCAAAAAAGCATTTCACGAGAGAAAAAAAAATATTTGAGAGAAAAAGGTTAAAAAAAATAATATTTGAGACAAAAAAAGTTGAGATATTTTTTTCATAGAACACAAAAATATAGCCTAAATTAGATTTTTTTTTTTATTTCTGAGAAAAAAAATCCCTCTCAAAATGCTTAGAAATAATCTCAAATATATATATATATATATATATATATATATATATATATATATTTAGGGCTGTGCAAAAGTTAATTGCGATTAATCGCATCCAAAATAAAAGTCTGTGTTTACATAATATATTTGTGTGTGCTGTATATAATTATTTTGTATATATAAATACCTATGCATGCATGTATATATCTAAGAATTATTTGCGGTTAAATTCTGTATATATTTATAAATAGATAATCTATATTATATAAATATAAATATTTTATATATGAATAACATATTTTCTTAAATATATACATGCATGTGTGTGTATTTATATATACAAAATAATTATATACAGCACACACAAATATATTATGTAAACAGAGACTTTTATTTTGGATGCGATTAATCGTAATTAACTTTTGCACAGCCCTAATATATATATATATATATATATATATATATATTATAATAAATATGTATAATATATGTTTTGCTATCAGTTTGAAAACTTTTTCTTAAAAAAAAAAGTGTTTCTTTCAAAACGATTTTCTTTGCTCTCGATGCAATTTCTTACTCTCAAATCAGGATTTTGCTTTTACTGTAAAAATTGTGTCATGGACGGGGCCATGATATTTTTTTCCCTATATTGGCCTGTCAGGTAAGCATCGTGTTGTCATGGGAGTCGGGTAAGATGATGATACACACAACTCGCTGAGTAGCTGGCTGAGCAAGTTCAGCATCACTGAAGATTTAGTTTACCTAGCATGATGGCTAATTAACGATTAGCTTTACTAGCCATTAGCAAGCTAATATAATACACATCCATTCATGAAAATGAGTGCTATTTTTTAATGTTTAATCTTCAGTGATGCTGAACTTGCTCAGCCAGCTACCTCATCGAGTTGTGTGTGTGTGTCATCATCTTACCCAAACACTGGAGTGTCCATGTTCGACTTAAAGTGTGTATGTCAGGTTAAATTTTTTTTTTAGATATATTAAATAATGTTTAGATGTCCGAGTGATAATGTAATTATCATTAAAACTAGTACTGTAATTGCCCTACATTAAGCTTTATAGCCATTTCTGTCAAGATCATATTTTTAAAACACAGTGGAGCTGCCTGTGACGTCAGAAGTTCTATTCAAGTATGGAGAGTTTTGAGTCTGAGGAGATCCAAAATCCCCCTCAAACCTACGATGGCCCACAACCTTACAATTTTGAGCCTCGCAGGCGTGAGAGAGATGAACCAAACAGAAATTTAAATATATTTCCTATCAAAGAAGCATAAATATCCAGTGTGAAGAGAACCAGTGGAGAGTTGGTCAGGTGTCTTGACATGTATTCGTATTGAACCAAAATGTACGGGCGTCACACGGAGAATACAGGGTTGAAATAAATAAAACTCGCGTGCAAATTAATTAATGCGGAATTACTGTTAGCTACGCAGTAGAGATGCGCGGTAGCCTATCAGAATAGGTCAGTGTAAAGAGGTTCAGTGTGTGTGGAAAGAAGAAGACAAGGTCGCATGACTGGGACTCGCGTTTATTCAGAAAAACAAAAAAGATACGAGACGCACAGTAGCGCATTTGCCACCATAAACAAAACACCCGATCCAACACTAGCCCATTCTCACCCCCAAGGCATCACCTAACTGACGTCTTGGGAAGCATTTGACTATGCTTCAATATCTGACGCTTTAGGCGCCCTTTAGCGTCAGTTAGATGACGCCCTAGGATCGCTTGTACCCTACCCCCACCCCACACATAAACCTAACCGCGTCCTCTAACTGACGCTTTCCTTTAGTGTCAGTTAGATGACGCCGTAGGATCGCGTCATGTAAGTGACGCTAAAGGGTGCCTAAAGCGTCAAATATTGAAGCATGGTCAAAGGTGACGCCTTGGGGTGAGAATGTGTTGGAAGTCCCAGTCCAAGTCTCTCTCTCATTAAATTACTGCAATCAAACACAGGTGTTCATCATCTGCACTTGATCTACTTACTCACTCCGTCCTTTCTCTCCCGCAGCCGCTACATACTTTGAAAACTCATGCCCCCTCGCCAGAGTCAGGTTTGCCGAAGTGCATTTAATTTATTTATTTTTGTCCCTGCGTGCCGATCGGAGACGGAGTTCACTGCTGATATTCTGAGAGCTTTCTAGTCTCACGGCTGTCATCAAAAAGTGGACTCTGTGACCGGTTTTAACGGTGTTTTTGCACCCTGACATGATTCTGCCATCATCTCCTTGATTTTTCCTAGTCTTGTGGCAGGATCATGACAGACCCATGTTTTATGTGTAAGCACATGGCCTTTTGTTTGGGCTGTGTGCTTGCGTTGTCTTGACCCGCCCCCTTGTTGTAATTATTAGACCATCGTTTTCACCTGTGTTCCTGATTAGTTTTCTCCCTATTTAATCCCCTCATGTCTTCTGTCCTGTGTCGGTACATTGTCAAACATTGTGAGTTTTTCGCTGTGGGTATTTTGTCTGAAACCTGTTTTATGACAATTGTGAGTTTGTTTCCTGTCAGATCAGAGTCTTAGTTTGTCTTAGTCTAGTTGAACTCTCCTCCAGTCCTGTTTTGCCCCCTTGTGGGTTTTGTTTTCTGTTTTTGTCATTAATAAATCCCTATTTTGAGTTACTTGCTGTCTGCAATTGGGTTTATCCTTCAACGGCATGACAGAATGTACCGACCAAAGAAGAACCCAGCAGACCGTTTGTCCTTCCCTACCAAGTGTCGTCCGGACCCCCTTAAAGAACTCTGGTTGTCTTCTCCCCTCAACAAGAAGAATGTCACCCTTCCATACTCACCCGAGGGTGAGTGGATCTTGTCTAACTTCTCTCGACTGTATGACCAATTCTCCCGGGAGGAGTCTGAGGCGACATCCTCAAGGTCTTCGCCCGCTGCTTGCCTACCAATTATTCCTGAGGGTCGAGTTCTAGCTGTTGTCACTCAAGCGGATCAGGTTTCCTCCGTTTCTTCTCTTGAGGTTTCGTCCACACCTCCTGATCTCCGTGGCAAGCGAGGGAGACTGAGTTCATGGGATTCTCCTTCGGAATCATCCTCGACGGAGTCAACGCTGTCTGAGACTGCCCTTCCTGCACCAGTTACGGCCCCCGTGAAGCTTCCCCAACCGGCCACGAGTCCAGCTATGACGTCTGCTCCGCGACCTAGAAAGAAGAGGAGGAGGGGAGCCTCTTGTCCTTTGATATCTCCTGTGGCTGTAAGCACTGTCCCAGAGCCCGCTGCTGTAAGCGCTGTCCCAGGATCAGCTTCAGAAGAGGCCGATTCCGGATCTGCTAAGAGAGTTGCGGCCGATCTAGCCGCTAAGGAGGTCCTGCAAGCAGTTTCTGCCCAGAAGGAGATGCCTGTTGTCATTGCTGCCAAGACCCAGTCGGATTATTTATCACGTCTTGTCAAGATCCTAGAAGTCCCTGTCAGACCTGTCTTGTCCCGGTCGGCCGTCTGGCAGATTTTGTGCGTTGGCCGACTAAGTCTCCTCGGTGTGATACGCATGGTTCCGTGCCGTTGGCTGAAAATAGTCCTGGTCGGCTTTGTTTCACGCGATTCGACATGTTGAATCGGCGTCGGGGAAAGAGAGAACTCTGATTGGCTGTTCAGCTTAGTGAAAGAGTGCACGAGAATAAACGCAAAACAGCAAGCAAAGAATTCAAAACAGTAGCCTAAAGATAGACGGCTGTTCTTATGTTACGTCTTCTTACCTGAGTGTTCTTTGGCGAATATTTCAATATTAACATGAGCGGAGTGGAATGTGTATTTGCAGCTGGCAGCGTCGGTTTTCCTCTTTGAATGACGAATATAGACGAATATATCTGCAGAAAAAGACAGTTGGCTCATTACACACAGGCGCAGAACGCACATTATAGCTAACAGTCAGTTGTAGTTCTCTCGGTGTGTTCAAGTGCAGCTTTTTACCTCGATGAGAGCGGGCGAGAGGCGACAACACAGTTGGTTTCATCAGCGCTAGTTCGTTGGTGTCGGCTTGGTGTGTTCCGGGCTTTAGAGCCCGGGCACTCAAATATTGGGGCACTCTTTTCGCCCCAAGACCAAACAATTCCAATCTTATCTGTTTTTCGGCCGCCCTCAACCAGCACTGGCCTTGGCCAAGGCCGCTGTTGGGACAACAACTCCCCCGGAAGAGCACTGCAGTGAGCCGCTCTCGCATTCCTTCCCCGATTCCCCAGGACACCTAGTGATTTTTGACTTTGTCTGGGACATGATCAAGGTTTTCTCCACGGCAACCTGCTGTGTATCGCTATGACATCTGGTATCTTGTATGTATGTCTGATGGATAGGTTGATGGCTAATTTCACTGGTACTTCTGACTACGTGACAATAAAGGCTACTACTACTATCTGGCCCAAAAATCAAGCCCGACCCTGCCAAATACTGACAAGCCGCTGGCAGTATAAATTGCATACGCTCGTCAATTGCTTCGGAATCCTTTTCTTTACGCTCAAATCGACGTGTGCTATTCGAATTGGGAATTACTCTACTGACTCACCATCGTCGAAGGTGCATCTAAAGATACCTCACTGTCTTTGGCATCCGATAGCATCCATCTGCATCTATTATAGCGCCTGACACCCACCTGTTCTGTATCGCCTGGCCCACGCAGAGTCGGCCCTGTCAGACGACCTCTCGTGTGCCCATTGCGCGGACATGCCAGTGCGCGCCCTCAAGGGCAGGAGAGATATGGCGAGCAGCTGTAGGGATTGGGCCCAATGGTGGGCCCTTCCGCCCCCAGGGAAAGGGAGCTTGACGCCGCCAGCTTCTCGGACGATAGCTTCCGCAAATTGGATCACCAATTACCAGGGCACAATCAATAGGATTCTCAGTGGGTGTTTCACTGAGTGGGGCAAATCGATTTGTAATGGGAAGCGGAACGGAAGAGTGGTTCTTTGATCCGCGACTAGAGCGATGCCTACTCGTCACCCATCTGCCCTGCTGCATGGGCTCTACTTCAGCCGCAACCGAATCATGTGAAGAGTTCACTATGCTAGGCGCATCCAAAACGATCTAGCATTCTTACCATCCTCAATTAAAGTTTGGATGCGTGTCTCCAATTCTGAAATCTTCTCCGTCAGCCTGACTGTCTCCATGCATTTATCACAGACAAATCCTATATTGCCATCGGACAAGGATATACTAAACATGTGACACAGGTGACAATAACAGGACAAGACATTACTCACCTTGTTAGGGTGAAAGACACCTTTATAATACTAAGCAAAGTCTCATGGATATTACATTATATTGCTTTAAAACTATATGGCCTTATAGGTCTTGAGTAGTCAGGGGCTCAATTGTGGATTTCGTTGCCTCTGGATAACAAAAGTATTTCTAATATGGTTGGATTTAGTGCGAATGTTAAAAGTTGGTTATTAGATAGGTTGTTTAGTCATTAATTTTTATTAGTATATTGTAAGAAAGCTTATTGTAGCTTTGTAGTAAGCCGTCACTATGAGTGAAGTCAGTGCTTTACATTAGTTCTCCTGTGGCTAAATAACGAAAAAAAAAAAAAAAAAAAAAAAAAAAAAAAAGAATATGATCCAGGCAGCATTTAGTGTGCAAAACATCTGGGAGGTCAAAACTGTCCAGGCCAGGTAAAACCCATCTGGGCCATAGCTTTGCTGGCAGGGAGATTTAAAGAGTAGATAAATGTTTTACTCTGAAAAGTCAATAATATAATATACAAAAGGATATGCACATTTGTATGTATACAGTACCTTTATTTGGCTAGCAATGTGTTAGGCCTACATGTAAACAAAAAAATACCATTTGCATTTCTTCAAAATGATAATAATTAATTAAAATGACTAATAAGAAGACTGGTGAAGGACTTTCCCACTTTTTCTACCTTGCTATTCAGGCCTTACATAGAAATGTCATCTTAAAATCATATATATAAGCCAGAATCAATTTATGTCTAATGGTGCTTTTCCACTACACCGTGCCAGCTCAACTCGGCTCGCCTTTGTTTGGTTTTCCACTGTGTAAAAGTTGTACCTGTACTTGCTTCGGGTAGTTTTTTTGCATCACCTCCAGCGAGGTTCTGAGCGAGCTAAGGCGAGCTGAGCCGGTACTAAAATGTGACAAAAAATGCCGACTGCTGATTGGTCAGAGAGAATCGTGCGTCATTGCACGTGCCATATGGAGTATCCAGAGTAACCCCGCCATTTTTAAATAGTTTAGCCAGAGATAGTTTCTAAACTTACTACTATTATTATGGCAACTCGGAAGAATACGGCGTGGTCAAACGAGGAGGTGCAGACTTTCCTTTGTTTGCCGAGAGAGCTTGATGGGGCGGCGAGGAACGAAAGGCGTCACTATGACGACCGGGAACTATTTGTGGCGGTACTGTCCGCAATGGAAAACGGCGCGAATGGCGAGCCGAGCCGAGGCAAGTTGGTACTGGTAATGGAAATGCGCCATAAGATAGCACATATATTCCTGTTTCTTTCACACTATGAAGACTTTACCGTTCATCTTTCTTATGGATTCTCTGGTGTGTGTTATCAGTCTAAACACTTTCTTTATTTTAGTCTAAACACTAAACACTGTATTTTCTGGTGTCTTTTATAGGAGTAAACTCATTGAAACCTCCTTCCACAAACAGGACAGATGTACTCCTTTTCATTTCTATGAACTTTCATGGTGTTTCTTCAGTAATGATGCCAAAGCAAAACATTTTACTGCAATGATCACATTAAGGGGTGTCTAAAAAACACTTTTGATATCTGAAATCAACACAAACAAATAAACAAACAAACACATCCAGCCCCCACACAGCTCACAATAGTATCTAAAACAAGAGTTTGTTGTTAGTGGCCAGCAACAGCACAGCAGACCCAAACATGACACTCAAAACTGTCCTGTTACTAGACAGTAGGCTTCCTTTAGAGTTAGCATTTCACTATATATCTTGGTTCTGTCAAAAATAGCAGAACAAATGCTCACGTGGAGTAGAAACAACGCAATAACACTTCGGTCCCACTTTGGTCTATCCAACGCTGGAACGGTTTTCTAATAATAATAATAATAATATGGCTCCTAAAGCTCTAATCCAGTGATTTTTCTCTGAAATTTATCCATCAGCCATCTCCATCTTTACATGTTCTAGTCTTTCTCAGAGAATGTCTAATTGAAGAGAATTGGCACTGGCTGGTTACTTCCGGGTTCTGGACTGGCTGCAGTAACACGTCTCTGTCCATGCGGGGGCGCTCGCGGTCAATGGGGTTTCACCTCCATAAATCCACTTTTCTCAGGATGTAATTTTTTGTCAAGTAATTTGAAAGTTGTTTTCAAAAGGGAGGGCTAAGAAAATACACTCAGCTGAAAATTGCATTTTTAAGTTCACTTATCTGTTCTAAAAATCCGTTCAAAAATGTGATGACGTCACACAATAGCAGAATGCTAGCGTGCTCCAGCCAACAACAGCCTAACCTGTAAGAAATCAAAAGGACATAAGTACTCATTCATTCGACTTTTGGCCTATAATCTATATTGAACTTGCGGAATCAACAATAAAATCTATGTTAATTTAACGACAAGCAGGTGAAAGAGACACATTTAGCCGTTTAGCCCCATAGACTCCCATTCATTCTGCTCTCGCCCGTGATCACCTCCAGTGGAATTCTAATGGAACTGCAACCAGGATGATACACAACGGGGCTAATAGGAAGTGCCAAGGCTCTCCGTTAGACGGGCTCTGTCTTTCTTCAAATCTCCCTCATTCTCACTCTCCGTCTCGTCCCCCATCATGAATGGACACGCCCTCTACAGCTGATTGGCCACAAGTGTGTTGAGCTGCTCCATCCGATCCACTTTCCACAGCTTTCCTGTTTCTCACTGTATCTCTCCGTTGCCTTGTTGCAGAGTGAGTATAACGAAGATGCGCTTTTAGACTCGTGTTCCACTTAAATCTCTTCTCACACAGATGACACGCGTACGACATCTCTTCAGAGTGATTTCTCATGTGACTATTAAGTCCTTGTTTAAAGGTGAAACTCTTGCCACATTGAGAGCAGGAGAAAGGCTTTTTTCCAGTATGAAGTCTCATGTGAGTTTTACAGCTTTCTCTACTTGTGAAAGTGTTTCCACACTGAGAACAGGAGAAAGGCTTTATTGACATGTGAGTTATCAAATGAACATTAAGGCAGTTTTTATATTTAAAACTCTTTCCACACTGAGAGCAGGAGAAAGGCTTTAATCCAGTGTGAATTATCATGTGATTCTTGAGGTTTGCTTTACGTATAAAAGTGTTTCCACACTGAGAGCAGGAGAAAGGCTTTACTGAATTGTGAATTAACATATGCTCAGTAAAGTGTCCTTTCTGTGTGAAACTCTTGCCACAGTGAGAGCAAACAAAAGGCTTTATTTCAGCATGAATTATCATGTGAGTCTTCAGGATTTGTTTACGTGTGAAAGTGTTTCCACACTGAGAACAGGAGAAAGGCTTCTTTCCAGTATGAACTTTCATGTGGCTATTAAGGTTTCCTTTACGTGCAAAAGTTCTCTCACACTGAGGGCAAGCGAACGGCTTTTCTTCAGTGTGAATTACAAAATGATCCTTAAGGTGTGATTTCTTTGTAAAACTCCTTTCACACACACAGCAGGTGAAAGGCTTTATTCCAGTATGAATTAACATGTGAGCCTTCAGGCTTGATTTACGTGTGAAAGTGTTTCCACACTGAGAACAGACGAAAAGCCGTTTGACATCTGTGATTTGAATGCTGCTTTTTTCAGTTTTGGAGCAACTCAATGGTTTCTCTCCAGCGATGACATCATGAGCTTTCTGATGCTGATGTTTCTCCACCATTTCATTCAGATCTTGTATTTCCTCTTTCACTTTCATCAGGCCTAAAAGGAAAATTATGAAAATCAATTTGGACAAATGGAAAATAAAATAATGTATATGATAATGTAGGGCCTACTAAAAACTGTTTTTTTTTATGTTTCATGCAAAGAAACACTACACAACTTTACAACACAGACACATCATACGCATGCACATTTGCACAATATGCATTAGGGATGTCCCGATCTGATACTAATTTTCGGTACAGCTCTTCTTGGCTGGAGCGGATATTCGTCATTGTTCAGATGAGGCCAATTCAAATCCGATATTGTGCGTTTACTTCACACGCACAGTAAATTAAATTTAAAACTGCAAAAAAAAAAAAACACTAAAACTATTGAATAGATAGATACTGTATAATACACTATGCACCGATAGATATATCTTTCCTTTGTGCTTTGAACTTTTCAATGCGGACTCGAAGAGCTACATAATCATATAATACTTTTGCGCAATGAAAGATTATTAATAGCATTTTTTGCTCTGTCCGATCTATCATAAGTTGTTGCCGCAAACAGCTGTGCTGTATACATTTAATATAGGCCTATGTCTTAATTTTACGGTAGACTATAGGCCTATATCAAATAATTTATATTTTTAATTTGTTATCTTGTTTTTCATGAATGAAAGAGCAATGTGTAACGTTTTACCAGATTTAGTGCAACACATATTGTCTCTTACTTGTTCCCCCACTAAATAATGTTTTTTTTTTTTTACTGAGACATACCATAGTACTGAGACAGCTCTAATTAGAGTCACAAATGTTTTGCTCTTATCATCCGATCGTGGTTTTATCTCTGTAAGTTAATCGATCTTATTGATACTATTGACCGTTCAACTGAGGCCACAAGATATCAATTCGAATTGATTCTCGATTTTCAATTTGATTGAAGTATTATGATGATTTCAATTATTCTATTTTGACTGGCCCCACCACAAAGAAAGAAAGGAATAAAATGGTTATTGTTTTTTTGCACGTGTATTCTTGTATTGTAATAAATAAGGTTATGACACGCCAAATTTTAGAAACCAGTGAAACTTAATTCTCGATTCCAATTTCAATACCAGCTAATGGGTCCTTTTACGATATTTTAACTTTAGTCAGTCTGTAATGTTGCTGTTTGAGCATAAAAAAATATCTGTCCACTTCAAAGGCGATATTTTAATAAACAACCTTTTCAAGAACTACAACTAACCAGTTTGGACTACAACGCGATTTTCCCGGCTTTATGAAGTCAAAATATTCCTCATTTAAATAATCCGCGCCCACGGAATAAGCAAAAAAAAAAAGGTCTCGATTACTGTTTGGATTAAATTAGTTCATATAATCACGATTAAACGGTGTTAACATAAACATTAGTAAATAAACAAATACAATGAAAACGTCATGTAAAAGAAGTGCTAGTCCGTGAATGAATGCGGCTTGGAAACATATTCGTAACGTTACTTCACACACCAAAAACAAAAACAAAACTTTGTAAATGGGCATATGGGACCCCTTTAAAGATGAATGAAGAACCAACCTCCTTGTTCCTCGTGTTTTATTCTCCAGGGTTCTGGTTCACTCATGTCCTCCTCACTCTCCTCTTTAACAAACACCATCTTCACAGCAGCAGATCTCAGTTCAGTTGATATTCCTGCTTGATTCAGAACTTAGTCACGTTTATTGACCTGTTTAAAAAAATATATCGTTCTAAGATATCTTAGTAATAGTTTGTATAAAGCCAGTAAGTTACCGCTTAACAGAAGAGCCCATGCTGAAAAATAAAGTTCTTCCTCTGAGGTTAATGGTGGTTGTAAACAAACGGATGTGCTTTACCGCCACCGACTGGACTGGAGTGTGAAGCGTCAAGAGGAGGACAAAACAATACAAGGAAGAGATGAATTGGTGCGTGGACAATGGATTATGTCCTGCAATATATTTTACATCCAAAATACAAATAAATGAAAATACTTTAAAAAAAGTTATATATCCTACACTCGCTTTACATTTGAGTTATATAGATCAGAGAAACGAGTTTCCAAATTTCATTCCAATTCAGGGAAAATCACGGAATGTTCCCTAATGGATATGTTTATTTTTTCATAATCATATACTGCATTTTGCAGAATGACTGACATTACAACATTTAAATAGAGACAAGGTCAGCAAAATTGGGAAACCTTAAACTGTGTATTAACCCATTTGTGCCCAAATTTTTCTGAATGGTTTCATGCATATAGTCGTGTTAATAATGTCCTATGTGAACATGTTCTGCATTTATTTCCTCAGGTTTTTTTTTTTTCTTCTTGAAAATCGTATTTGAATGTGCGGCAACTATAGTTGCCGGTGGGCAAATATGTTGTATGAACCCCATCAATGTTAAATATGAATAGGAGGAGAACATTTGGCATCTATCTCACCGCTTTCAACAGATCAATCTTTACTCATAAACAAATTTATTGTGTATAAAAGTCGAAGAATGTTTGATGCGAACCCAAAAAAAAGCGGAATCTATAGCTTATAATGTCTTGAATATAAAAACACAACAAACAACAAATGCATTTGTCTTAAACCTTGTGTGCTGTTTGGGGTCTTTTTGACCCACATTTCTAACTTTCATTCATGGGGATAACATGGACAATTTGACATGGTTTAGTGTAAGATTTTTGCCAATCTTTTGGAAAATGCCGTTTTAAAAGTAACAAATTATCACTTTAACCAGTAGATGGCTGCAGAGCTCCACTATTCGCGATTTGCTATTTGACTAAATGAAAGACATATTTTCACAAGTTTTTCCAGTTGTATTCATATCTAGATATTATGAAATCACAATTATAACAATAAAAGTAACTTTTTGTCGAAGTTTAGGCATTTTTTGTACTGGAAAAAATCTGTTTTTCAATAATGTTATCGAATCAAATGATTTTTGTCAATGGACAAAATTCATCCTCAAAATCAGAAAGAACACAGAAATTTGGTGGCACACTTCACACAATTTTTTGAATTATATGAAAAACAGATGTTTGAAATAAATTATAAACTCTGAAGACTCCAACTTTTCTCTTTGTAACATCCTGATCAGGTTTGGTTCTAATCATAATGTAACATTATTGAAAAACTGATTTTTTTTTTTTCAGTACAAAAACTGCTAAACTTTGACAAAAAGTAACTTTTATTGTTATAATTATGATTTCATAATATGTAGATATGCATATATCAAAAATGTAATTTGTTGCAAAATGTATATATATATATATATATATATATATATGCATAATGTGTGTATAATGTATGTATATATATATATATATATATATATATATATATATATATATATATATATATATAACAAAAAAAACAAATGGCAAAATGGCAAAAAACTAAAATAACAGTGCATAAAAGGGTAAACTTATTAAACAAGTCCAATAACCTTGAATTATTAACCTATTAACAGAGTATACCCCATTTCCCCATGATATATGTACTTACAAGGCATTTGCCCACCGGCAACTATAGTTGCCGCTTGGACTTTTGACTAAGTATACAAAAAACTATAGATCTATTGTAAGATTTGTTTTGTTTAGAGGATTCTAGAGACCTTCATGATTATCTTGATATATATATGTCAACAAAAAATACTTATTAGTAATATGAAAATTAGCTTTCTTTGGGAGGGTTTGTCTTCGCCATGCTTCCTGGAAGTAGGGTTAGGAAGTTGACAGCCTCATGTGACAGGAAGGAAGTGAATACCTTTTTTTTTTTCTTGAAATCCTTTATTTGGTTGTTTCCTTGCATGACATTGCGACATACAACATGGATAACATCTAGAAAAATACTTACACAAGGAAAATGACAACTATACACTGCGGCAACTATAGTTGCCGGTGGGCTTAAATGGGTTAAATACACACTCTATATTCAAGTTTTAAACAAATGCTATAAAAAAAGGTATGTTGTATCTCCAACTATGGTTTTTGATGGAATGAGAATTTTAAGTCTGAATTTTAAAGAATTTTAAGTCTTAAGTCATTTAAGTCTGGGTGTCGCACATGATAATGTGAAGTACAGTTTTTTTTTCATGAGCTGGAAGTGGAAATGCACATATGCCAGTACTATTTTTCTTATTCAATTTTTCTGGCCACTGATCCCACACTTTCTCACATCCTCTCCACACACTAGGCCTATATATGACTCCTTCATACATCTATAGTCCCACTCTAGATCTCCCCATGCCCCTATTACCCTGGATTTCATGCTTTTTATAGAATCATCTGTGAATGATCCCTACGGAGGCGTATTGCATTCACTTGAAGAAAAAAATCTACTCTTTTTTTCTGAATTAATGAGTTAATTTTTCATGAGAAAAATTTTTTTTGCTCAGTTTTTCTGAATTAATGAGTTAGTTTTTCATGAGAAAAATTTTTTTTGCTCTGTTTTTCTGAATTAATGGATTAATTTTTCATGAGAAATTTTTTTTAGCTGTTTTTCTGAATTAATGAGTTAATTTTTTGTGAGAAAAAAGTTTTTGCTCTGTTTTTCTGAATTAACGAGTTCATTTTTCATGAGAAAACAAGTTTTTGCTCTGTTTTTCTGAATTAATGAGTTAATTTTTCATGAGAAATTTTTTTGCTGTTTTTCTGAATTAATGAGTTAATTTTTTGTGAGAAAAAAGTTTTTTTGCTCTGTTTTTCTGAATTAACGAGTTAATTCAGAAAAAAAGAGCAAAAAAAAAATCCACGAAAAATTAACTCGTTAATTCAGAAAAACAGAGCAAAAAAAAATTCCATGAAAAAGGAACTCGTTAATTCAGAAAAACAGAGCAAAAACTTTTTTTTCTCATGAAAAATTAACTCATTAATTCAGAAAAACAGAGCAATTTTTTTTCTCATGATAAATTAAGTCGTTAATTCAGAAAAACAGAGTAGATTTTTTTTCTTCAAGTGAATGCAATACGCCTCTGTAGATCCCTCTGTAGTCTAATGAATTTTGCCTTCTCACCATCCTGCCAAATTTGATATAAAAGGTTCTGTTCAGAAACCTTAATTTTTTCAGTACATAGTCAATTTCAATTCAATTCAATTCAAAAGCTTTATTGTCTATGAGTCTATCCCCACAGGGGGTAGAAAATTGTCTTTATACAAAGGCTCAACAAACAGTACAATACAAAAGACAACCACACAATTTAAGATACACCCCCCTCCCCTATTTCCTATTTAAAATATCAATGGCAGTTGGAATAAAAGTCTTCTTATACGTGGCCTTTTTCACCAAAGGTACTTTATATCGTCTACCAGACGGAAGTACATTAAATGAACTATGCAAGGGATGTGAAGAGTCTGTCACAATAGCAGAGGCTTTCCTTTCCACTGCCACCGTGTAAAAATCAGTCAGAGCTACTTGTTTCTCACCAATCATTTTAACAGCCATAATTTCAAAAGCAGACACCTAATACTTTTCTAATATTCAAAGTAAATATCGGAAATTCTAAAATATTCTCGAGGATTAGGCAATACAATAGTTTTTGTCCTCATACAGTCTATGTACAATTGACACAATCACTTGGTTCTGGATCGATTACAGACAAGCACCCCAAATTATTAGATGAAATTTGACATCAGAACATAGACAATGATCAGTGCAGAGGAGAACACAAGATCTGAGAACCAACAATGACACAAACAAGAAGTGCAGACTCAAAGTCAGCTTTATTGTGCTCGTGCCATAGTTTATTCAGCAAGTCTCAGGTGTTGGCTAAAAATAACAAATAAAATAATAAGTCCATATAGAAAAGAAACGAGACTGCCAACTTCGCTGAAAGAGTTCATAGAGAGACAAACAATTCCATTCATATACCAAATGCAACCTTAGGAGCCCAACTAAAGCAAACACTGATCACCACAATGGTGATTTAAAATGAAACAAATATCACCATCTAAACAATGTAAATAAACATGAGTTTTAATTTAATGCATCCTGAGAGTGTTTATTTGGTCCAGAAATAGTATAAATGAGACCATAAATGATGTTGAAAACATGTCCACAATGGCCACATTTGAACTAGTTTTTGTTCGATGAACATCTATATCGAATGTGCAGAACACGTTAAAAAGGCGTCATAAAAACTTTCATTCCAGCCCAAGCGTACCGCACAAGCCCTCAAAAGTGAAGCCAAAACGTCTTGATCGCCCCCCTGTGGCCGGTCCTAGTATAGCTCATAACCCCGCCTCCCCATGTTATTCAATGGGACGCGAGACCAACTAAACAATTAAATTACACTTCACATATCCTTTTTCCAAAGATAGTTTCTGTCATTTACTGTAGTTTCTATCACGTTGATGTAATTTCAAGTGTTCATTTTTAAAATAAGTTTGTGTTTAGTTAGTTATGTGATGATAAAACGGTGCTCTGACATCATGATTGACAGCTGTGATTGACAGGTTCTCTGTGCGAGGTGGTCACTGAAGCACTTTTTTCGTAATGTTGACTATGTGGTTAGTAGTTGTATTTACCTTATTTTAACAAGATTCTGCAATCAGCAGACATCATTGGAGAAGAACGAAGCAGACAGAGGACACTTAATGAAAGTGCGGGGCGTGTGCTTGCGTTTGATTCAGCGCGAAGGAGGGCGGGGCCTTGATTTCGCGGCTTTACTTCCTGCCCATGACTGCGCATGACTGGTCCCGAAACACGCAAGTGCGCAGACTCAGGTCCAAGATGTCAGCGTCATATCGAGACACTGGCGGCTTCAGTTCTCTCTGATGGAAAAGAGCGAAGCGGCGTCGTCCATCTTTTTT